GACGTCTCGAGACCGACTCGTGGCGTCTCTGCTTCCTTTTTCTCTTTTATTTCCCTTCCCTTTCAGTTTCTTCGTTCATCTCGAACTCGTTCGCGAAAGTTCAACTGCAAGCATTGTTTATTTCGATTTCGTCATCCCGATACGTACATTTTAATTGAAATTTTATTAATGATGTCATAGGGCAGAGTTGTCATTTTACTACTTAAGTAGTTAACTGAGTCCGACGTACATATATGTTTTATTTCGGTATTGCTGACGAATTGTTCATTTTTTATTTTTAGTTTAAGTGACAAGAGTGTTAGGTAACAAGAGAGTTTGACCTCCGATTTGTATACTCCTCAATGCTTGAATATTATTTTTTAGTGTCATCACGTTTTGCTTTTGATATACACTTTTCGAACTGATAATTAATCCTCCGGATGGGAGTAAGTACATATTACTGATTAATATGCAGTAGCTTGTCTGTAGTTTCCTATGGACACTTAGAATATAATATAAATATAATTGTAAGAATCTTATGACACTGCTAGATCTTCCTATTATCCATCTCAAGGCTAATGTTCACATTTAAGCTAGCATTATACTAAGCTCCTGCTAGGTACTCTGATGTTGGTCCAGAAGCATCACCTTCCTTCTGTCTGAACATACAGAAGCATGAAGAGCAACAGAAAGCATGAAGACACTTCGATACTTCACATGAATAACATCATACCTACATCGTAATGACGTTGAAGTAGTCCAGATTAGATATTGAAATAGGAACTAATGTTCCCGAAGAACACAGGAAATTAATAATATGTCTGGCTGTAACATGTGGCGAGTAGCTAATGCAAATCGCATAAATGTTCCGCAACACTGACGCAATTAAGGAAATGATTTGCAACATTGATGCAATTGGAGAAGTGATTTGCAACTCCGATGCAATTAGAGAAATGCTCTGCAACATCGCTAGATCTTCATATTATTCATCTCAAGATTAATCTTCACATTAAACTCAGGTAGCCTTATTGATGTCAATGCATAGATCATTTCCTCTTTTATCTCAGTTATGCAGGTAGCACAACATGTGAAAAATGTTCTTGAGGATCAGTAATAATATATTTTGCTTCAGCATGTGGTAATTTATGAAAATTGCATAATTCTGATGAGAGATCTCTCGTGATATTGATGAAACTTTCTATTACTTATTTCAAGGTTAATGTTCATATGTCTGTACTACATTAAGTTTTTGTTAAATAGCTTTTCTGATGAGACTGTCCCTTACTTCTAATTTCCGATGATTTTTTTCTAACTTCACAAGGAATTCAAAGGAATTCGAACGCAGAGAATAAACAGAATATTTTCGTTCAACATATGGCAACCAACTCACGAGAATCTTTAAGCTAATGTTCATATCTGAATAAAATGAGCTCTTGTTAGGTTTTGCGTCACTGATGAAATTATCTTTCATAAGTAGATCTAAAGCCAAATCTTGAAGTAGATTTATGAAGTCAAATGTTCTTGGACACAGGATACATAGCATATTTCTAGCACAGTCTTTTGCACATAATACCCTGCTATTTCAAGGCTCCGCAGTTTGCTTCGAGGTAACCATACCTCTTCTTCCACATTCTTCCATATGACATTATTACGAGCGATGTGATTGCTATAAGAGCAAACCTTGGAATAGTACTGCTCTAATACCAGTCTTTTACACATCATATCTTGGTACTATAGGGCTCAAAATTGATCATGAGATAACTATACCTTTTCTTCCACATTCCCATGTAATATTGTTACGATGTGCTAAGCAAGATTTTTAGCAGTATTCTAGCATAGTGTTTTGCACCTAGCATTATAGTGTTATTGGGCTAGTTTACAGTCTTTTTCCACATTCTTCCATGTGAGAACTACAAGCTATATGACCACTGCTACAAGAGTAAACCTTTGAACGGCAGTGCTCTATAATAATCTGTTGCACATATTACTCTGATGTTTCAGAAAATACATCTTCTTCTTCTATATTCTCTCATATGACATGACCACGTGAGGTCAGACCACTGCCATAAGGATTAGACATTAAATGGTACTGCTCTAGTACATTTACACATGGTACCCTAATATTGCAGAGCTCCACACTACCCTGAACTGTGTAAATCTTTCCACATTCTCCGATATGACGTCGTCACAAATGATGTGATGGTCTCATGGGCCTCCACTCTACCATTAACATAAAAGTAGAAAATAACAAAAAATTAGTAAACTTGTGATACACTGCTGCCCTAGCATCGACATGAAAATTGAAAATAACACAAAATGAATGAAATGTTGGTACACTACTACCTTAGAATCAAGATAAAGGTGAAAATAATACATAGTGAGTGAAGTTATAACACACTACCACCCTAGCATCAGCATAAAAATTGAAAATAACAAAATGGGTGAAGTGATCTCCCGGTAAATATGGTACCAGGTGAATTCTGAAGGAAGGTAAACAGTGGTTGATCAGTCGCATGTTGAAGGAGGTCTACGAAGGTAGAGTAGCCGGGAACCATGTGGTCGACGAGGATTGTCCGCACGTCTAGAGTTACCCGAGTCCGGGGCGAGCCG